TTTTCAGCTGAATCGCGCTTTAGCTCGAGGGAGGCGGTGATCCGCACCATGCTGAAAGATGGTACTGAGACCTCCAGTAAGCACCACCTGCAATTGATGAGGGTGTGTTCGATTTGTAAGTCGTACCGTTATGCGACTCCAACGTCCAACGCAGGTGTTTTCTTCATGAAGATGGAGTTGCCATAATAAGTTCTGCGGCGGATAAGAGCCCAACAAGTTTACTCTCGATCCTCTGCTACCCTTCTTCTGTCATTCGGATTTCGCATTAGGCACCAGGACTTTTCTTTGCGGATGACTTTCTCCAAATCCTCAGAAATATAGAGTTTCGATTCATCAGCTGCTGACGTTGGAGAATAGCAGTTAACGATAGTAATAGTATTCTGTTGCAGAGGACGGAGTCGAAGGGCAGACAGGCGGTGATAGGATCTCATGCAAATCGACAACATGAAAAACAGGTGAGTCGACAAATCCGACGCCTCCAACGTTCCGCGATGGAAGTTTCTCAACACAAATGATGAGTGTGCCATTACTGAGCTGCCTCACGTACGTCTTCCTGGACTTTGTTCCCTGCAAGACTATGTGGTAGTTGATGCGCCCTGCAGCTTCAAGAAGGGCGTGAAGATTGGCATTAGTGGGCAAGAGACACTCTCCATAGCGAGTCGTTGACGTGCCCTTCCCGAAGCATGGCATCCTGTGCAATGTGAAACTGTTCTTGTTGACATCCGACGCCAAGATGTCCAGTGTGCAGGGCTTCCTTTCCTCTACATGTTGTACAAACAATAAAATTTTTCCCATGCAGCCTTACCACACTCTGCCAATCTATCACCACAGGCAATCGCTGACCTATGCGGATTAAGGAACTACCTAGAGACTAACTCAGCCAGACGGTGGCGCTGGCAGGGATTGCTCTTAGCTGGACATTCGAAGAGTCGGAAACGTCAAACTCCTTAGCTTAGAAAACTCTGCTGGAGGATAAACCCTGGGACGAATTTTGATGAGCACCAAGGATCTGCTTGAGAAGAGGAGAGCACTGAGGCTGAATCCGACTGCATTACATCTCGAGCGACTGATAGCCAATAGCTGGTGCAGAACAGCTTTGCAAGAAGACCCTTGAAAGTATAGGCAGTCAAAACTTTTGGAAGCAGCCCAAGGAAAGAGAAGTAGAAGTACGCCGCGTCCGCTAACAACATTATCAAATAAATACGGAACTCGGACGTCCCAACAAACGATGACATTAATCATTAAGGGATTCTACATCAATCTCATCCGCATCAACACCCGTAAATCCCGTTCTCCACTGGTTCAACCATAGATTTTATCTGCTAAAGTACTCGCCGCAATCAAGACCATGAAGGCAGCCGCAACTCCGGGGCCGGACCATGTTTCGGCTGCCTTCATGGTCTTGTCAGACATCGCCGCGAGATACTTGCAGCGCAGCTAACTTCTTAACTTCAAAAGAAAAGGGTCTCCGACCAGTAGCGAACCTCCCGAACAATCCTGCTTCATAAAAAGGGCGATAGGGAGGATCTTTGGATTTACCGTCTAGCCTGCTCAGCGTGCGCTACAAGCTTTTCACAAAGATTAATCTCTCTCGCAGGACAATAGGTGAAGCTCAACCTGTACAATAAGTTGGAATTCCCAAGGGATTTAGCTGCGATCACATCCAGACGGTTGCGAAGATTATTGAGGCCTGGCGAGAGTACCGCCTACTTTTTCGACTATGAGAAAGCACTTGACAGCATCGAGACTAATGCCATACTGTCACCGCTCCTCGAGCAAGGTGTGAACCAATCTTATTCAGTGACATTGGCCGACTGCTACAAGAACTGAGAGGACATCATGTTGGGCTGTTTAACCCTTGAGAGTGGATAATGAAATCACTGGATTGAAAAGAGGTATACGAGTTGATAGGAAATTCCTTTCGAACCTTTTGCGGACGACATTGTTCTCTTTCCGAGGAATATCACTGGAGTGGATGATGAAA